TATTCTATTCTATTCTATTCTATTCTATTCTATTCTATTCTATTCTATTCTATTCTATTCTAAACAATTGGTAGAGTATATGTCTTTACCATCAACACCTCTACTCTAAGGTCATCTACATAAATGTTTTGGGAGGACACGTGTCATTTCTGACCCCACAGCCTCCCCCAATTTGTCTTTAGAGGCACTGCAGCAGAGGTCCCCAATCTGTGGGCTGCAGCTCATTCCCGATCTGTGGCCTATTCTCAACCGGGCCTCCTGAGTGGCTGGCTGGTGCATGTACATGCACAGCCCCACTCATGAGAGCAGCATTGCAGGTGCTCATGGCCTCACTCACACAAGCAGCAGGTGCACACCTTTCCCCTCCCACAAAACCATACCTTCTTTCCCCCCCTTCCCCTGCCAGGGACTCTGCACAACAGTGTTCACACACACTCACTCTTGCAGGCATTTGTGCGGCGTCCCTCAGCTGGGCGCCAGGGCAGGTCATGGTAGAAGTCGTTGCACAGCTCACAGTTCAGCCCTTTGGTGTTGTGCTTGCAGACACAGCGACCGTGGACCTGTTGGTAGGCAAACGTAAGAGGCAACACACACCTCAATGGCAGAGGAGAGACCATCCACAAGGGTCATGTGGTCTAGCCCAGGGATCTCCAACCTTGGGCGCTTTAAGCCTTGCGGGCTTCAACTCCCAGCTGGCTGAGGAATTCTGGGAGTTGAAGTCCGCAAGGCTTAAAGCGCCCAAGGTTGGAGACCCCTGGGCTAGCCCAATTCTGTACGTTTGGAAGAGCCCCATGCAAAAACAGGGCCTTTTATTTCTGGTATGAACTGTGGCTTCCTGTGAAAAGGCTTTTGGAAAAAAAAATGATGGTGGCTCTTAAGATAGCATGGAAAGCCTCGAAAGACAAAATGTTCACACATTTTGCAGCTGAAACACAGAAATAGCCAAATCTAAGTACGGCCACAATTGAGCCTTATTGACCCCCTCTATTCGTACCCATTTCTTATGTTCATGTCCATATTTATACACTTATACCTGTGATCTCATACAAACAAAATAAAGAAAGAAAATAAAATAAACTCCATGGTTCTAAATCTGACTAGTGTCACCGTTGGGCATAGCAATAGCAACAGCACTTAGACTTATATGTCGCTTTATAGTGCTTTCCAGCCCCCTTCTAAGCAGTTTACAGAGTCAGGCGAATGCCCCCAACAATCGGGGTCCTCATTCTGCCGACCTCGGAAGGATGGAAGGCTGAGTCAACCTTGAGCCTGGTGAGATTTGAACTGCCAAACTGTGACTCCTAAGATTTTCCCTTAAGTTAAACATACCTAGTGCCTTTAGCCATTCATCATATGATTGAATATCCAGGCCCCTTATCATCATCTTTGGCACTCTGCATTTTTTTTCTAGGGCCTCGGCATATTTGTTGTTGTGCCAGGATGCCTTACCATGCCTTCCACATCATCAGCAGGATTGCCAGCGAGAGGGGCACATTCCGAGGCATGCCCATAGCAGAAGCAGTTGCCCCGCAGCACCATCTCATACACCGCATAGTAGTATTTCTCCTTGACTTCCCGGCGTGAATCCAAGAGGTTGTCTCCCAGAGTGTGCAATTTAGTCAAGTTCATCCTCAGGTTGGTGACTTTCAGGAGATCTGGGCATTGAAATCATGAGATGCAAGAAGATCGTAAGAAGATTGTGGTGACTAATAAAGGAGAATAGTTGTGACTCTCTGCTCTTGAGCTTGCTTGTTTTCTTGCAGACGTTACATTACCCAAACTAAGTAACATTATCCGTTCTAGTAAGGAGTGGCGTTTGCTCGTGGTTTTATATTCTGGCTTGCCTGCGTAGATGGGTGGTGCGGTCTTAGAGGTTTTTGGTTGGGCTGTTTGCTGTTGGTTTCTTTGAGTGTTTCTTGATTGGGACTTTGTTTACTTGATTGTTGGTTTGATGCAGGGGTGGGTTCCTGCAAGTTCTAACCTCTTCTATAGAAGAGGTTCCACAAATCTACAGTGCCNACCGCCCACCATGAAAGCTGGAACGCCCACTAGTGGGCGGTAGGGACCGGGTTGACTACCACTGCCAGTGTAGATGGATGCGGAGAACAACGCTCACTGAATGCACAACGAACACGTTGGTTCCAAAGCCTCCAATCTAGCTTTTGCAGATTGTCACTTAGTGCTTTGTGCTGCTGTTGATCTGCCTATACCAGTGTGGACCGAGTGTCCAAAGCGTATGCCCCAAACCCCAAGATGCAATGCACGTGCAGGCCCCGCGCATGCGCTCCCCGCATGCAAGTGTGACCCCCTGCATGTGCCCCACCCCCTGTGCGGCCCCATGCATGTGCCTTGCCCTGCACATGTATGTGCAACCCACGCATGCCCCTCCCCCCATGCATGCATGACAGAGACCCAGGGAGGTGTGCACACACGTGCGGCAGAGCTGAGTTGATGCGACAGCTCTCGTGCCTGCAGAGAAGGTGCTGGGTGCCACTTCTGGCACGCGTGCCAGAGGTTCGCCACCACAGGTCTGTATGTTCAGGGAAACATGACAAAGCTGCAGTAGTAGCAGGGGCACTAAGACACTTTGTGGCTGTGAGAAGGGGAACACAACCAGCCATTCCCAAGAAGGATATTTTTGTCTTGTTCAAATGCTCCAGGCAGAAGGTATTTCTCAGTCCTCAGAAACACCACTGAAGCCAATTATTGAACAATCAAAGCGTAATTTTCCATTGATTTCTGTTCCATGACAGGATGGAAGCATGGTGGTTAGCACTGGGGAGAAATGGCTTTTCAAAATTCTCCACCTTTTTAGGGGAGAAATAAAGCAGTAGGATAGGTTAACTTTCTCCAGAGGAAGGAGAAATTCTCCTCAGGAATTTTTCTCAGCAGTGACCGAAGTTCTGCTCCTAAAATACCCCATGAGGGGAATTCCCTGTTCTCCTTAGGGATTTCATTGAAGCCTGGGAAGCCAGAAACTGCTGTCCCTAGTGAGATGACTGAATAAAAAGAGAATAATTATGTATGTATCTCCTTACTTACTTTTCAACTAAGTACGGGTAATCCTTGCTTAAAGACCAGTTGTTTATCAAGCGTTCAAAGCAGAGGGGAAATGCTACGACGATCAGCTATGACGGGCAATTTATATTAGCTAGAATCGTCAGATTTCCTGCTTTCTAGCTAATCTAAATCGC